TCTAGATCTGTATCAAAAGAGCACCATTAATGTTACACTGACCAGGGATGATTTCTTTCCGGTAAAATTTCAATTTATTAACATGTGAAATAGGGCTGTCTAAGCCTTCCGTCTTGTAAGCTTTTATTTAGTAACTTGGTTCTAACAGAAGGAGAAACTTTGCTCTCTGTGTTGATGATGCAGTTTTGCTATTGTTATGCTACAAACGGGCTTAGGAATTAAGAAGTTAGTGTATCAGTTGGCTTATACTTCACCCAGCTCAACCCCTCATGTTCTCCCTGGGAAGATGGAACCTTCCAGAGCTAAGAAGGAGATGAACCTCAAAGAAACAAATTTGTCACCACATGATGCAGCCATTCTTCTTGTCCAGGATAGTCTCTTTCCACAGTTGACTTGAGCTCTCCACTGTGTTTTCTTTAACATGGTACAACCTTAGACTACCTTATGGATGAGGGGATGTGGTGGGACATCTTCACAGGCAGCAAAGGCTGTGAAAGAGTGACTGGCAGAATGGCTAAAATTAACAAGTCAGGAAATAACAGATGTTAGCAAGGATGTGGAGAAAGAGGAACCCTCTTACACTGTTGGTAGGAATGCAAGCTGGTGCAGCCACTCTGGAAAACGGTATGGAGGTTCCTCAAAAAAGTTAAAAATAGAGCTACCCTAAAACCCAGCAATTATACTACTAGGTATTTACCCAAAGGATACAAACATAGTGTGATCTGAAGGGGCACCTGCACCCCAATTTTTATAGCAGCAATGTCCACAATAGCTAAACTATGAAGAGAGCCTAGACGTCCATCGACAGATGAATGGATAAAGATGTGGTACATATATACAATGGAATATTACCAAGCTATCAAAAAGAATGAAATCTTGCCATTTGCGATGATGTGGATGGAACCAGAGGGTATTATTCTAAGCAAAATAAGTCAGTCCGAGAAAGACAAATACCGTATGATTTCATTCATATGTGGAATTTAAGAAACAAAACAGAGGATCATAAGGGAAGTGAAATAAAAAGCCAAAAACAGAGAGGGAGGCAAACCATAAGAGACTCTTAACTCTAGGGAACAAACTGAGGATTGCTGGAGGGGAGGTAATGGGGTAACTGGGTGATAGGAGATTAAGGAGGGCACTTGAACTAATGAGCACTGGGTGTTATATGCAACTGATGAATCACTAAACTCTACCTCTGGAACTAATAATACAGTATATGTTAATTAAATTGGAATTTAAGTAAAAAATTTTTAAAAAGGTGACTGGAAGAGGGAGAGCCACGGGGGACAAGTAATAACTTTCTGGCCATCCAGGAATAGGAAAGAGAAGCATGAAAGAGATTCTGAGCTTCAGCATAATCACTAGACTTCTCCACATCCAGAAGAATTAGAACTTCCACTAGCGCAGAACTGTGTGTTTAAAAACACCCAGAAGGGTGATGTGGTCCCTCTATAGCGCATGGCCAGGCACAAGCAATTGAACACTGTTTGGAGAAATGGATTGGCGGAGCGAGCAGTCTTGGCGGTCTGACTCCCACCAGGAGTTCTCCATGCCTTCCTGTTGGATATGTGTCATTATGGAGTTTGCTACTCTCAAACTTCTCAGTAAAGCTTTGGGCAAGAACCCAGGAGTGTTGCATGTATTTGCAGGAGTGCTAGGAATAAATAGAGTACCTAACAAGATTTCATGACTCTAATTAACCAGGAGATGTAAACAGGAGGGGATGGGCTGGAGAAGACTATCAAACAAGCTCCAGCTATGGCCCTGACCCAGAGGTTGCCCTGAGGGAAGGGCTGGGATGTGAGCAAGACAGATCCAAGCTTTGCCCTCAGTCAGTGCGCTGCCACACCCTGGCCCAAGCTAGATTAACTCCTTTTTCTCCTTTGCCCTCCATCCTCTGGCCGGAGCAATAGGAATACCAGATTCTTGTGACTTGTAATAAAGAAAGCCCATGCGCCAGAGAACCGGATTGTCGCCAGTCTCTGCAGTTCAAATATTCACTCACCCTGGCAGGGGTCATCAGCTTAATGAAAGTGACCAGTGTCATCTTGTTTCCTGACTTCAAATCCAGGATCCAGCCAAATCTAACTATTACTCGTAGCTCAAATATACCTTATACTTTCTTACCTCTTATCTTTTCTTCCATCACTTGGAAGGCCATACTCCATCTCCTCAACCCTCCTTCTTTTTTTTGAAATAGTTCTCATCCATTAGTGATTAACTCAAATATGCCACCTTTTGGATAAAAATTTCCCTGCCAAAATAGCATTTCTTCTGTCCGCGAGAACAGTAGAACTCACATACTAGACCCATTATGGAGCATGTAGCTTGCTGATATTGAGTATCATTTAGTCCTCAAAATAACCACATAACCGTGACACTATCTTTAGGCACACTTTACAAGTGAGGAAACCGAAGCACAGAGAGGTTAGGTCACTTTTCCACGGTCACTCAGCTAGGAAGTGGTTCTGCTGATTGATTATAAATATGCTACATATTAGCATTATGCTATGAGGAAAGAAAACTAGATTCTTTAATAAGGCTTTAAAAAATAAACTGATTAATATATTGGGATTGAAATCTTCTGGGTAATGGATACAGAATTACTAATTTTCACACCTTTCCTACGTCCAAATCTGGTCAAAAGTATAAGGCTTGAACTTTAATTTCAGGAAGTGGGCATGGTGGAAGTGTGTTGGAGACCGTTCTTTCAGGATCAAATCCAATGACTGTGTCTGAGCCCTGCCCCCCTCACCTGATGCCCGTTCCACTCATTCAGGGTCAAAATGGTCGGCACTATAAATAGTCTTTGCGCATTACACAGAAGGCAGATCTACCCCACTTACTGTGGATTTACCTGAGCCCTTGGACTTGAATACCACAGTTGGGGATGTGCACATTCTTCTAGAGATAGGTTTCATGATGTCTGCCAGATTCCCCAAGGTGTCTATAAATTACAAATATTAAGAATGGCTGCCACTGTTTGAGAGGCACCATAGAGGCAGAGTAGCTCCATGACTATGGGGGCAGAAGGAGCATTTCTGAAAAGATGAGAACCTGTGGTGGGATACAATATTGTTTGCTGGATACAAATAAAATGATTCCTTTTAGGGAGGGTGGGCTTCATGAGAGAAATTGTGCCTACACGTCGATGGCACCATTGTCCTTACAGTGTTAAAGCGGTTGGGAACTCAAGACACTTGCCCATTCCCAACCCCCCATCCCCAGCACTTGACAGTTTAGGAATCTAAGACTAAGATTAATAGAGTGACACATCCAAAGCCACGAAGTTCAGGGCTGGGATCAACTAGAGTCCAGTGCTCATTCTCTTTCATGATCCCTCCCCCTTACTTCACAGAGAGAGCATCCTATTAAAATGTTGGCTTACAAGCAAGAGTCCACACAAAAACCCTACATCCATGCATGGTAGCAATGCTTTGTCATCTGGCTCCAGTGAATTCTAACACTTTCTCTTGTTTCCTTTCTACCCCAAATACCTCTGATTGCCACCCTCAGGACACCAGCAGGTAGAAAATGGTGTAAGTAGGAGAATTTACACACTGTGTATCTCATTTGAACCTCAAAACAAATGTACAGATGCAAAAAAAAAAAAAAAAAAAGATAATCCTCATTATCCCCATATCAATACCTTAGTTTTAGGATAGTAGATATGGGGACCAAGGTCTTTGGGAGATCCAAAATGCAGGAAACATCCCCCTCCATTAATTGACCAGATATATTTATGGTATATTCTGCAGAGCAATTATAGAGACAGATGAATATTATTTCCATAACCATCTCTTCTGCCCAATGTATCTGAAAGCATGGAGAAGTTTTGCTCTTGACTGGGAGAAAACTGACGTGCAGAGAGCAGGTGATTTGTCCTTGCCCACATAAAAAGTAAGAATTTCTATTAAAGAGAACTATCACTCGATAGTGTAAAAATGTCTCTCCTAGTAAGGCATTCATCTTAACAAAATGTTACCATCATGAAACAGCATATGTGATTCATAGATTTTTTACAGGAGTTTCTGTATGTGCAAAGTAATATCTGATAGAATTTTCCCCCTTTTTAAAAAATAAAGAACTTTAAGAGCAGTGGGAGGGTTTTAATGATTATAGACTAGGCTTCCTATCGTCTTCAACCAAGAATATGCTCCATTTCCTAGTTGCTTGCCCTCTAAAAAATTCCATTTCTTAAGAAATCCAAGATACTTTAAGATCTAAAATAATGCTGAGTTTCAATCATTAGGAAATTACTTCTCCTTATGAGAATTTTACTCTGGTAAACATCTCTTCTCAGAACTCTTCTTAAAGATCACTATCTTAATTAAGCTGAACAAAGAAATTGATGGCAGGTTGCATGCATTTTGCCCTTGGGATACTTCACCATTTTGAAGGAACCCCAGGGCAAATCTTGTGTGAGAAGATTAGAATTGAAGGAAAATTTACAAGTAATCAGTCTAATCTTCTACTCTGGGAAGGACTCCGATTTACAACACATCTGACGGAAAACCAAGCCGTATCTATTAGAATACGACCAATGCCAGGGAGCTCACTACCTCACAATGGTTTACACCTTTGTTCAGCAATTCTTATCATTTTATAGTTCTGATTTTGAATAAAAAAATCTCCCTACTCTTAAGGTTGGCCCACATCTGACTTCTGAAGTGACACAGAGTCTCTTCCTTTATCACATGTCAATTCTGAAGACTTGATTCCTTGTTCAAGCTTTTGTTCTTCATATAAAACACCCTTAGTTTCTTTCCTTGGTCTTTGTATGCCTGGGGTTGAGATCCATCAATATCATCCTTCCCGAAGAAAGTCATTCTCCTCTCAATCTATTATAATTTACTAATCTCCTTTTTAAAAGGGGCACCTCAACATTTATGCATCTTTGGTAACTTTCCAAAGTTGTTGCTGCTGAGAAATGCCCTTGCTTTATAACTAGTCACTGTGCTTTTTTTCAGTGACATTAGTTCTGTTCTCTGAGGACCTACCTTTGCCAAGGTCTCATCATCCAGGTGATTCTTCTGAATCACGTGTTGAAGTGCAAAATAAATTTTTTCCTGAAGCTTCTGGACCTTCCTTGGTTCTATCAGCCAGGCTCGGTCTGACAAAGGAAAAGAATTAGGTAAGAAGGGTAGGGAATGTAAGCTTTCACCTGCATATATAAGTGCTGAGTTTCAGACCCATTTCAATCACTTAGTTTTAGTTTGCTTCTGAAGACATATAGTTATTTACATAAAACACAAATATTTTCTAAGAAATACCTGGATGACAGTAATGCTGGATACACACTGACCCCAGGAAAGGAGGATGGAGAGAAGGGCTCAATGGTTCTAATAAACATAGCGTGTTTCATATTATCTGTGACGATTTACATCTCTCTCTTTTTTTTTGGACATATACTTAGATTCTTTCAACGTAGAAGTTAATGACTTGTGAAGAAAATGAATTATAGAAGAAAATCTATCACACAGGAATATTTTTGGTATTCAGGATCCCCCTTCCCATAAGCTAAGCTATAATGCAAAGCATAAACATGAATCAATTTCAAAAATTTAATCCTGTGTGCTCTTTTTGTACGTGGAATTTTTAAATGGTGGATAGGATAATCCCTCCTTTCCTTTCTCCTATCCTACATTCTTTTCTTTTTTCCTTCCTATATCCCTCTCTTCACCACCCCCTTCCTTCCTTTCTTCCTAGAAGCTTTATACACTATGGTGATAAAATGCAGCCCAGCATCAAAGCCTCATCAACCTGAGGCATTGCTTCCATGAAGAGACATCTAGAGTCTCCAAATGCTGAACAAATACTCATGGAAAAGAACTTGGAAATGGTCCATCTGAACACAGTTCAGGTCAGGTGAGAAACTCAATTCTGTAATCCTAGACAGGGCAAGGACAAGTCTAGCCACCAGTTAAGCAAAACCCTTATGTAAGTGAGCACAAAAGCCTTCAGTGACAATTGTCAATCAGAATAAATTAGGTTTCCCTCCCTCTCTGTTCCCTAAACTATCTGGAGCTGAACAGACAGTGGCTTTTATGACAAGAACTGGGGGAGGGTGGGGTCTGGCATGAATAGAGCCGGCAGAGGCTGGACATCTGTCTTTCCTCTCTTTTTTGAATATGGCACTAGGCCTGCAGAAGCCCCTGAGTGTGGGTCTGCTACCAGGGCTGGAAGATTCTCTGCTAGGCAGACTAAGCCAAATGTCATGCTTCCAAACTCAGCTCAGTTTGATGGCTACAGTACGTTCTTTTCAGAAAAAGGCTCCCAGTTCAGCTGATTTCTGATCCATAAACAACAGGCTTACCTTAAGTCTGGGGCAGTTATCTTCATGGATTGTTTAGGTTAGATATACCATGTCTTAAGTATTTGCTTCTAGGAATTTATGGACTTAACCATAGACATACCTAACAAGGACAGTACATTTTGCAACACTTTCTTTGAGCAAGCAGGAACCAGAATGGAACCGCTTCCCTCATCACAGACCCACAGGCTTAGAACGAGTCTTCTATTTAACTATTTTCCATGAAAACAGTCAAATGCAATGAGAAAATGGTGGGAGGAAAAGTATTTGGCAGGTGGTTTCTATCAGAAATAACTATTTCTTGTCACTTCTCCCCTTTATCTTTGTGCTTCCAGGCCTGGGAAATTTTCTAGGGTTCAAAACAAAACAAAAAACAAAAAAGGCCTAGAGGAACAACTTGATTGTAGACAGAGCCCCAGAAAAAACTGTTAGTAATAGCATGCCAAGTGATAATTTCCATTTTTGATAATGTGGTTAAATAAAAAACAAGCAAATTTGAAAATCTTCACAAAATTTAAAAAATAAATAGTTAAGATAAAGCCTCACTGATAAAGAGTGTAGAGGCTGAGGGGCACCGGGTGGCTCAGTTGGTTAAGTGTCCGACTCTTGATTTCAGCTCAGGTCATGATCTCAGAGTCTTGAGATCAAGCCCCACGTCAGGCTCTGTGCCCAGCATGGAGCCTGCTTACGATTCTCTCTCTCCCTCTGCTCCTCCCTTTACCCCCTGCTCACTCTCTCTCAAAATAAAATAAAATAAAATAAAATAAAATAAAATAAAATAAAATAAAATAAAATAAAATAAAATAAAAGTGTAGAGACTGGTATTATTGGTAGATATAGCTGCAATGACATGTCAATGTGTGCAGTCACAGGTAAGATTAATTTCTTCCAGCCCCACTGAAAACTGTGTTAGGATGTAAGAAGAGCTCTCTTCTCTAAGATGAATTTTATAGAAAGAATGAGTCTCTTGGTCATAAAAATTATTAGGAATGTGTTCCAATAGAGAACTGTAAATGACACTGGCAATCCCTTCACCCAAAATCTAACCGAGCAGACAGCTGAGTGACTCTGAGTTCTCATTCTGGTTGAAGAAGGAGCCAAGTACTTATTAAGATTCTAGATATTTTCGAGCTGCTATATATTTTAAATAGCATTTCAATTGCTATGGTTCTGTTTGATCTATAAACATCACACCTTACTTTCTTTGAAAATTTTGGTATTTTATTACATTTTAGATCTAAACATGATCTTTATTTTTTTTGTCTAAGATTTATTTATTTTAGAGAGAGAGAGAGAGAGAGCGGGGCAGGGAGGGGCAGAGGGAGAGAACTGTAAGCAGACTCTGAGCTGAGCACAGAGCCCGATGTGGGGCTCAATCTCAGGACCTGGAGATCATGACCTGAACCGAAATCAAGAGTCGGATGCTTAACCAACTGAGCCACCCAGGCGCCCCATGATCTTTAATGAAGTCCAAACCTATTACTTTATAGATGAGGAGACTGAAGCTCAGGAGGGACGGGGGCAAGTGTTTAAAGTCACAGAGATAAATGATGACAGATCCCCGGATGGGAATGTCGGCTGCTACATCAGAGATTCTTCCTTTGCAGTCTTTAGTTGGAGTCATTTTTCCCTCTGCTGTTCTCACCTCCTTTCAAAGCCCCCAATATTGCTAATTTTGGTGGAAAAGCCAACAAAAGAGGTATTTAAAGAGGAGAGGGTGTACATGTTATTTCCTTTTGTCCTCACACTGGATCTTTCATTTAAATATATTTCTACTAAGTCTCACCTTACTGGACATTTGTTTTTGATGTCCTTTATTCTTAAAATTGAAACAGGACTTTGCTATAACTCAGGCTGCCATCCATCCTCATTAATCTGTTAAGGAATACTTTTGCTTATCTGAATCTGGAGTGACCCTTACCACATACCCTTCTCTTGCTTGTGGGGCAAAATGGCTCATATTTTAATTAATTTAAGGCTACTTTCCTTTGAATTGTCCAAAAATATCACAAGCTTGCTAAAGAAAATTTAAATTTCTCCTGAGGACGTAGGCTTGGGTAGGTGTAATCTATGTTAAAGATAGAAAAACTTTTTTTTTTTTTTTTTTTTTTTAAAGACGGGACCTCAGACCTCCTTACCTGGAGATATCAGAACAGCAGATGAGAACAAAGCAATCTCCTCCTCAGTCAGCTGCAAGGAACATAAATTCTTTGCAAAGTCAAATGCTTCATTCACCAGGTCATCAGAACCTATAAAAGAAGGCAAATTAAATGAGAATACTTGAATGGAATGGGGCAATAGTAAGAAAAGCCCCATAATCCAAAGGGCATTCAGGGATTTAAACACTAGGCAAAAATATTTCCAAGTTCCTAATGATTACAGAATGAGGAAATTGGGCAACAATCTCGATCAAGTACTAAAAGTTAACATTACCAATGAGGGGCCAATGGGAATGGTGTGTGCCCACTGTAATATTCAACTGGGAATATATATACTAAATCTAATCTTGTAAGTTTGAAATTAGTTCCAACTAAAAAAAATTAAATAAGTGATCTGGGGATCCTTCAGGAGAGAGACAGCATTCAGAGAAAACTGAAAACATGGTGCATAACGGGCTAAGGGCCATCAGTCTTAGTGGCCCTGGAACCTGGCAGCATAGAATGCCCAGAGGCCTCAAACTGAGATGTTCAAAGCTTCTTATAGAACGAAGAGGAGGTAGCTTTCAAGTTGGTAACTTCCCTGAAAATCTTACGGAGGGGTAGGCATTCATTTATTTTTACCTTCTCCTGGATGCCTTGTAGGTCAGTTGCTTAGCAATGGTGAATTTTGGCAAAAGAATGCTTCATCCCTACACACTGATCCTCGGTAAATGTTTATTTTATGAGGCTGGAAATATACCCAAGTTGCTTGCCAAGGCTTTTCCTCCTTTCTTGAAAATCGAGCCTTGTAGACAACATGGATGTGTATCAGCTGCAGGAGGGAAACAGTACCAGCCGGACGGACTTGCTTTTTGGCCACCGTATCAACTGACGGCACAGAAGGTGAAAGGGCATGGCCTTCTGTGGGGTCCGGGGGCCAGGGATGGAGCAAATGGCACTGCCAGTCGTTAAAGCCTTTCCTGGCATTGGCCCATCTATGCTCCCATTCTTACCTGCATCGCGTACTGATGCCTGGATGTGAATGATACCCAACACTTCCAAAGACTGACTCTGTGTGTGCCCACCCACAGGAATGGTCTGGGGATCCTTTGGGGGCAGGTCGGCACCCACTCTCCCTGTGCTCCCAGAACGTCATCAATTAATGGGAAGAAAGTCACCGCTGTGGGTGAGAAGCAAGTGAAGGAGCTCTTCTTCTCATTAAATATCTTAACTAATGATTGTACATTTACAGAAGACCCTTGAGAGATCACCCATGGACCACCAATGGTCTACCTAATATACTCTGTGAGGCAGTAAGCTAGAAGGGAAAATAAAAGCTGATCTTACAATGAATAATCTAGAATGTATCTCAGTTCTTTCAGAACCAGTCTTCGTTGATTTCTGAATGAGGTGTGGTTGATCTCAGTGGGGTCTGTGGTTCTCTCCCGCCTTTCACACTAGGATACACAACTGTAAGATCTGAAGGTTTAGATAAAACACTGGAGGCCCACCTAGTCCAGCCCTTATCAAATGAGATGCTAGTTCACATTCAAGAATCAAAGCATTCCATTTACCAACTTCGATCTGAGTGGAGAAACTGATGGCAGCTAAGAAAATTGTGTCACCATCAAAGGTAAACTCACCTAAGGCCTTGAACATCTGCATTCCTCCATATTTTCCTTCAAACAGAACAGTGTTGTTTAATGGGTTGAAGGCACGGCACATTCTCACTAAAACCACTTCCAAGCAACCTGTGAATAAAAAAATAAAGAAAATATGTATATACATGCAATAATAAAGAAGTTATTATTATACAAAGGCCACAAGACTTCAAAAAAACAAAACAAAACCTTGAAAACACACACACACACACACACACGCAGACACAGAGATGCACCCATTCAGAAATACCTCAAGATTCCTTCCCGAGTAAAAAATAAAGCTCTCTTCGTGCTTGTGTGAAGAATTAAAGATAACATAGACTGTAAAGGTGGCTAAAATGGAGGGCAGCAACTACATGTTTTTTGGGAAGCATACATATTTTTCTTTTTTTGACTAATATTAACGGTAGTTCCAACTCGTGAATTCACAAGGAGCTTTGAAGCAGGCAAGTCCAGCCTGTTCACTTTTGTAGACGTTTTGCTCTCGGCCACACGTGCTCCCTGCCTCGGTTTCTACCATAGTCCTTGCATATTTCAGCACAGGATGACTTTACATAGCGACTCCTTCAGGGTGTTTCTGGAGGGCACCACTGACATCTGATGTCTTTGAAATGAAGTTTTCTTGGTCAAATGAGTTTTGGCAAAATGCTGAATATGATCTCACTTCGGAGAGTTATAATCAACATTGACAGGTCAAAGGCTTGGGGAAGCCTCAACATGAAGGAACTTGTTCAACCTTGCTGCTAGCATTTCTCTGACTTCCCTGTTAGCCCAGAGAGGCCAGGACCTTTGTCTGCAGACATACGTAGCTGTGGTTACTTTATTCACTATTATGTCTCCAGGACCTAGAAAAGTTCCTGGCACCTAGTAGGTGCTTACTAAATATCTATTTTATTTTTATTATTTTTTTAAAAGATTTATTTATTTATTTGAGAGAGAGGAAGAGAGTGCATGAGTGGGGGGAGGGGCAGAGGGAGACTCTCAAGCAGATTCCCTGCTGAGTGCGGAGCCCTACGCGCTGCTCCATCTCACGACCCATGAGACCGTGACCTGAGCTGAAACCGAGAGTCAGATACTTACCCAACTGAGCCACCCAGGCGCCCCTAAATATTTACTGAATTAGTTGCTGCCTTTGTTTTGCCCTCTGAACATTTACTGACGTTCTGAGGAACCACCATACGGGGATTTGACTACGCCCATGGTGTTCGCCAGGGTATCTGTGGTGTCTTTCTTATGTTGCCACTTAATATTTAGGTCTGTGTCTTATTTTCTTTGCTGATTTCTCTTTGCTTTCCCTATGTCACCTAGCAGAGGGGCTCCCACAGAGAAGGGGATTTGTACATCTTAATTAAAACTGTGCTTTTCTGACAAAAACAATAACAGGTACCATTTATTATTTATAAGGTGGAAGGCACTTTCCTTGGCCCCTTACATTCGTTGTTTTATTTGCTCCTCACAATACCATTTCAGGTGAGTTTTATTAGCCCCCCCCTTTTTTTTAACGGGTGAGTTCCGGGAGGCCTAAGGAGGTTAAGTACCCTGCCCTTCATACTAGAGTCAACATTTTTACAGCAGGCAGAGATGTCAGGAGAGTATATGGTGCAGTGGTTCTCCAGTGGCAATCTATGGACTGGTTGTATCTGAGACTTAGAAATACAGTGACCTGGGTTCCCTTCTAGAAGATTCCGATCCATGGGCTTCGGACGATGCCTACGACTCAGAACCATCAGTAAGCCCCTCCGATGCTGCCAATGCAATTGTAAGTCTGGAATCCATCATTGCTACTCCATCGCTTTATTTTGCAAATGAGGGAACTGCCATCTAGAGAGGTGAGCGCAAGGTCACATATCAAATATGGCAGATTTTTTTTCTTTTTTCCCCAAAGAGAGTCACAAAAGTATCTTCCATCCCACATGCTTTTCAAGAGCCTCACCACTCCCTCATCAAGAAGGAGGATCCACATCTCCTACCCTAGAGTCCAGGTGGGCCGTCATGCTGCCTTGACTAATAGGGAGGGGTAGAAATAACACAGCTAAGCCAGGAAAATGCTCTGCACTCTGGCTTTGTTCTCTTGGAGGGCTAGCTTTTGAAACCTAGCAAGCATGCTATGAGAGGCTGTGGAGAGGCTGACGTGCCTGCATAGGAGCTGGGCTGCCGCCCAGAGCCTTGGCTGAACTCGGGACTCAACCAGCACACACTGCCAGCCATGTGAGGGGGTCCTGCTGCCCTCAGTCAAGTCGCCTCAGTGACCCCCACATGGAGCAAAAGACAAGCCATCCCTTGCTGAGCCCCACTCACAATGTAGTTTTGGGAGCAAAGTCAATGATGATTGTCGTTAGAACTAGGCTTCGGGGTCATTTGTACCCAGCAACAGATAACTGATAGACCAAGTTCATGTTCGAGTCAAGGTTTGTTTCATCTTTAATCATGTGGTAAAGCAGCGCAGCAACTTCTAACTATTCTACCTGGCCCAAGTTCAAATGGCAGCTTTGCCACATATTGGCTTTGTGATACTGAACGAAGCCCTTCACTTCTCTGAATCTTCCCGTCCTCCCATAAGATGGAAATAATACCAATGTCACCAAACTACATGAGATGGCGTGAGCAAACATGAACATATATAAAGTATGTTATGACACACACAAGTCTATATAATCATTACCATGGCCCAGGTCCATGGAGCTTAACAAACACCATGATGGTTCTTATTTTCTATTTTCAAAGGCGGGCGGGGGTCAAGAAAGAAAATTTGTTTCCTGTTTGGGTAATAGCATCTGCGAAGTCACTCACGCACAGACTTTCCTAAGTGACTGTGTGTGAGTCAGAGAGCATGTGTGAGAGAAGCGGAGGGGAAGATTAGAGCTCAGGGAGTTTCTCCGGGTGTATACTGGCTGCAGGCTATCCTCATTAAAGTGATGGGAAATGACCTCAGAGGCAGCGTGCTGCTGGCCTGGATGTTTCCCCCCAACAGAAGGCAAGTAGCGCATTTCAGAGCCAGCTCAGCATTTCAGCCACCTTGACACGCTAATTACTCGCACTGCCTGTCAGGCTGGGTATCTCAACCTCCACAACTAACAGCTCTACTTTCAATAAGCAAAATTGTATTTGACTTCAAAGGGGAACTGAATGAGTATCAGGGCGTTTTTATTACCGAGAGTTTCCGCTGGGAGTTGGCGGACAGTGTGGGTGGTAAAAATGAACCCCATATTGGAAGGACGATTTTCCAGAACCAACACTGAGGGAAGGGTTGACCACATCCCGGTCTCCAACAGGCCCCCCCATGAATCCTCTTCTTGCTTACCTGACTTCAGAAGTAGAATTTGATCATTTTGACAGAGCTCCATGAAGCCCGTTATCCGCTTGGCGAACTCTACCACGTACTGGATAGCGTGCGTGATCTGGATGGCGCATTGCTGCCATAGCGCTTCCCTGGACTTCAAGAGAGAAAACACAGAATGTACACGGAGCAAAGAACAACGTGGAGAGTCCATGAAATAGGGTTTCCCTACAGTGCTTACCCAAGGCCAGAATGTACCCAGTTCCTTTAAAAGAGGTAGACGATATTTCCTAACACATTCTTTGGACCTGTTCGAACAATTGTCATACAATGTACTGAGACTAAAACAATGGAAGCATTGAAATAATATGTAAAGATAGAACTTTATAGTTTCTTTGCTCTTCTCCCCTCCTCTTCCCCTAAACAAGCTCAAGCTTAGTCCATTTTGGGAAAATAAACTCTCGCACTGAGGAGCAGTAATTTCGTTCCCAGGCTTTGATCCGGTCATGTTCATGGGCACCTAAATGAACACTAAACTTGTAAGATTTTTACATTGTGTTCTTTTTCCAGAACTTACGGAGAGTGCTGTTTGGTATAAAAAGAATTTCATGGGGAAAGACCTCAAATCAAATCACTCTCAAGTAATTTAGAATCTCTGAAATGTATTTTGATCCTTGCATTATTTTCCTTGGAACAGGAAACATCCAAGTGTGTGAATTCTGCTTTTTATTGATCATAACAATAATCATTTTTCTCATTTATGTAAGAGGGGTAAGATTTAATTGTCCCAGTGGAGAAAAATCAATATGTTATAATCATGCATTTATTCATTTACATATTTTTTTGTCTCATTTATATAAGAGGGGTAAGATTTAATTGTCTCATTTATATAAGAGGGGTAAGATTTAATTGTCCCAGTGGAGAAAAATCAATATGTTATAATCATACATTTATGCATTTACATATTTTTTTTAGATTTTATTTTTAAGTAATCTCTACACCTGACGTGGGACTCAAACTCACAATCCCGAGATCAAGATCATGATCCTGAGATCAAGCATGCTCTACTGAATGACCAAGCCAGGAGACCCGCATATGTTAAGATATAGACACATCTTTGTATTTTGTTTAAAATTTCATTTACTGGTAGATCTTGTAATTGTGGATCTCAATCCCAAAGGAAAGTAATGTGACTATATAACAGTAGCAAATTCCTTCTCTTAAAAACTTCTCAAATGGATACAAAGTAATAATAATAATAATAAATAATAATAATATGAGGTGAGTTATCCTCCTTTTTAACATTTAGGGTAAGAAAAAACATTTAGGATGCTTTATTGCCTATCTCTGTAGTGTAAATTTGCAACTATTATTATTGCTACAATTTCCCAATTGTTTCTCTTCCTTGCCTGGCCCCCAGAAGCCATCATGAGAAGTCCTAAAGTCGTCTGATGTGGACGTAGTCTCCCTGGTCCCTCAAATAGGGCAGTGTTTTTTAATTGGGGCAGTTTTGCCTCCCAGGGAGCATTTGGCAATATCTGGAGACACCTGATTGTCACACCTGTGTGAGGGGATTGCTAGTGGCATCTGGTGGGTAGAGACCAGGGATGATGTGCAGGACAGTCCCTGCACAAAGAATTATCCAACCCCCATGTCAGTGATGCCGAGGTTAGAGAAAGCCAGAAATAGAGAAAGCCCAGGAAAAACAGTCTCCTATTTTCTCAGAGTACCTTGCTTTGATACGCTTTAATTTCTTCATAGGTGTGGGTCTGCCACGCCAGCTGGTGTAGCTCCTCCATGGTGTACTGACATGTCTCCAGATGGGACTTAATGATGTTCTGTGCAATTCGATCTGTGAGAAGGAATACCAGTTTGAGGGTTTATGAATAAATTCCCGCTCTGCAAATAAACTAGCTGTTAATGTTTACTACAGGAATCCCTTTGGAGACACTCCAATTGTATTAGTGTCTTTAACACTACTACCCACCTATGTATCTCCTAACTATTGTCTTTTTTTCAATTTTAATTTTTTTTTAAAGATTTTATTTATTTGAGACAGAGAGAGAGAGAGCATGCGCACAGTGGGGGGAAGGACAGAGGGAGAAGCAGACTCCCCATTGAGCAGAGAGCCAGATGTGGGACTTGATCCCAGGGCCCTGAGATCATGACCTGAGCTTAAGGCAGATGCTTAACTGACTGAGCCACCCAGTCGCCCCTCAATTTCCAGTCTTTTAATCAAAATTTGCTGCCTTTTTCTCCCCCTTTTGGTCACAAACCTGGGGCTTTACAAGTTGTAAAATGTTCAAATAGTTATTTTTAAAATAAATACAAATGACTATATTTCCTGCTTCTTGGCCTAGAAGACCACTAACACTCTTGACATTTGTACTCCAAAGACTTTAAAATGTTTTGAAAATCACTAGACTCCCACTGTTTATGTTAGAATGGGGGAATTTAAATATAACTCTATTGGCTTATATTTTTAAAGAGAGGATAAAACAATACTCTAAAAAGATAAGTTCTCTACAGAGGAAAGAGAAGAGAGTAGAAGGACAGGGTAGAGGCTAGATGCTCTGATATTATTTTTGTAGATTTGACTTTGGAACCATATAAGTATCTTACATGATAAATAATGGGAGAGGGAATATAAATGAGATGGTATTGACTCATGAGGTGATAATTATTGAAGTTGGGTCACAGTGACCATTACATTCTCCTTTCTAATTTTTTATAAGATGAAATTTCTCTTTAAAAAGGTTAAAATGAGAAAATGATTACATTCATAAAAAAGTAGGAACAAACAAAATCAGTCTTTCGGGGCCATTCATCTCAAATGAATTGTATTTGATATTGTATCTTAAATACTGAACATTCTGGGTTTGGAGGTATGGAAGTTGAACAATAGAACCAGACATAACAGATCTCCTTAAGAACCTGCAATGAGTCCCCTAAAGTTAGATAGAGTAGGCAGGAGGTTCCCTCAAAATCCCCTCAGCTATTTGAACATATGAATAGTGTGAGATCTTGGGAACCAAAGTACACAGGGATTCTGTATGGGCAGGATGAGTAGAATGAAGATGACCAAATCTTTTTTCTGTTCTTGGCTCATACAGAAATAGAATTTTTCTAGTGTTTCAGGTTATGCAATTTCAAATGCAATTTCTGTTCTAAATAGCCATATTTCATTCCTACAGGATAACGCCCAAAGTGGTGCCGAGGTACCTTCTTTTTACCTCGCTAAGCTTCTGGTATATGTGGCATGAAATATATTGAGTTTTGGTGTAGAGAATAGAAACATGTAAGCTTGTGCCTCCAATGAGCTTGCCAAATAAAAAATCTTGTATAGCTCATTGCCTGGTACATTATAAACACTGAATAAATGCTAGCCACAGTGATCATTATTGGGACACTCTATAGGATTTGTCATCAGGGAAGCAATGTGATGTCTCCAACGGACACAAAACAGGGATATTTAATTTTGCAATCAGTGCTACTGAAGGAAGATATTTCAATATTTATTAGAGTTTTTCAATAAGAACCATTAAGTGCTAGATGTTGAAGATGCTACAAAATGCTAAATTATGATTATAGTTATGCTCTATTGGATTCAGCATTGAGCTGAATGAATTTCTAGACTCTCACTGCTCATCAAATTCTAAAATCCTTCCTTTAAAAATCCTATATTCAAAATTTTATTGAATATCCTATGTTGTAAAAAAAAAAAGGGCAGGAATTACTTTATACATCATATTAAAATAGATTGGTATGTCATGGTTCATCATTTTTCAATTTCACTTGGGCAGTCTAATTACTTAGAATCTAAAAAAAACATATCTCTTCCTAAGTATATAATGAAAACATAAGATTTCTATGGCTTTCTAGTTTTCAAACCTTTATCTTCTTGGTATAGTCTGTGTTCATCTTCAAAGATATGCTGATTTGTCAGTAAGTTACAGGCTTCAGGGTTTACAAGCAAAACTAGAAGGGCCACTCAAAACTGCATTATGAAAAACACTTCATCTGTCCCTTTATGCCATCTCCTGGGAACTCCTGGCCAAGGTTTAAAAAATCTCTAGCAGGGGCGCCTGGGTGGCTCAGTCGTTAAGCGTCTGCCTTCAGCTCGGGTCATGATCTCAGGGTCCTGGGATCGAGCCCCACATCGGGCTCCCTGCTCTGCGGGAGGCCTGCTTCTCCCTCTCCTACTCCCCCTGCTTGTAGTCCCTCTCTTGCTGTGTCTCTCTCTGTCAAATAAATAAAATCTTTAAAAAATAAAAAAAAAAAAATAAAAAATCTCTAGCCTTCTGCCACCAAAGCTTGGGGTCCTATAGGGCATAAGGAGAGGTGGGCATAATAAATACACAGACAGGTGAAGCAAAATTGGAAGTAAAATCCACATGCATGCTTTAGGACTCAGCTCAGAGGTCCACTCCCTGCGGAGTTTTCCCTGCTTCTCTGTGACCTCAGGTAGAGGGGTCGGCCGCTGTTACACTCCAGTCTACGTCCGACTGAGCCCTTATTCCGCTCAGACTTGCATTGTGCTTATTTGTGGGGATCCGTTTGTTCCATACCCTTCAAGGTTGTGTGTGTGCTTTTCAAGAACTGCACTGCAGAGCCCAGCATAGTGCCTTCGTATATTCATTCAACAAAAGCTATTATATGCCAGGTTAAGGTACAGACTTTTTTAAAAAATGACATTGTCTTTTTTTAAAGGGTCTTACAGTCTCATATATCATATCAGATATCATATCATGACATACTAAATGCCCTTGAGTTATTGTGGGAGCCCAAAGAAGAACGTATCTAACTCAGTCTGGGGGAGGCAGAAAAAGAACCAGAGAGAAGAAGCCTGTTGGTCTGAGTCTGAGCAGGGACTCGTCACGTGGCGAAGAGAGAGGTACACCTCAGGTAGAGGGACTGACCTTACAAGGGCACAGACAGACAGCTATTAGGAGCTAGATAATTTCTGCTCTTTATAAGCCTCACCTTTTACAACCAATTTCCCTTTTACTGAGGGAAAGAGTGAGTGACTCTAGAGCCATTTTTATAGAGCCAGCAAATGGTGATTTGAAATCAGGGCTGTCCTTTCTGGCCAGAACTCTGTTGTGCGGGCAGCATAGAGTGTGTGGAGGGATGGGAGAAATGAGACCGGGGATGGAAACTGGCACCAGAGACCCAACAGCTGAGCAAGCCAGGCCGAGGAACATGGGTCTTTTATCATTAGGCAGCTGGGAGCTGGGGGGGGGGGGGCGCTGTGGAGCTGGAGAGTGACCCCGTCGGGTTTTTGTTTTACAAAGGTGACCTTAGCCAGGGCAAAGAAGATGAAGGGGCATGAGGGAGTACGCGAGATTAATCAGGCTGGGGTGTGAAGTCAAGCAAGATAGGAGGAGGCTCTGGATTCAAGACAGTTCTGAAGCGGGATGCCCAGGACCAGCATGTGTGGCAGTGAGAGACAGAGAGCATTAAATATGGAAGGTGCTCAACCAATGTTGAGTTAGTAAAAGTAATACTGAAAATGTCCGCCCGTCCGTCCGTCCATCCATCCACCCACCCACCTATTCTTCCATTTTCTGGAATCCACAAAGGATTTTGGAAAGCTTATACTGTCCTGTGTTAGATGATCTTAAAGCCTAAGCACTCGCCAATGGCTTTGAGGTCAAGCATGGAACGTGCACTATTATTCCCCACACCCTTGTGGCGAGAAATAAAAGGTAAACGTCTGTTTGACGTTAAGAGTTATAAATATCAACAGAGGCGAAGCAGCTGCTAGTGGCCCTTCTCCACGTTCTCCCACGAGTCTGCCATGCAAAGGTGAGCTGCAGGTCAATAAACCACAGGATAAAGCTAGACTTGGGCCCCTGGGAGCAGGGCTTGAGGGCTCATTCTGTCCATTCGAAAGATGCACGGCCATCAGAGGAGATGGTCTGCCTGCACTGAGAGTCTGCGGTTGTGAAAAGGGGAGAAGGATTTAAGAAGAAGGGACAAAGGGAGCAACAAAGAATGCAGTATGCAAAGTTCCTGCTAGGAGCCAAAGGAACTTTCAAGAGTCCTTGCCTGGAAAAATAGAAAAGGTAATAGTACACTCAGTCCTCTCCAGGGACCGACGGCATGAGAAGTCCAGACAAAGAGACTGAGGTAAACGAGCAGAGGATATGGAATCTTTCTGGGCAATCGCACACCCTTCATCCGTTTCCTGGACTTGGATTGCACTTGCTGGTCAGAGCCTAGTTTTCATCAGATTCTTTAACCAGCTTGGGCTGCGGACGGCACAGGTCCAAGTGGGAGCCCACCGCACTGTGCTGGGATGAAGGCTTCAACGGGACTATGGCCCAGATGGCTGACAGAGGGGAAGGTCTCCTGCCCTCAGGGGCAATGTCCATGAACCCTACCCTGTTCTCCCTGAGATCAGGGATGAGGCTAGAAGTTTCTTAAGTGGCTATAAAGACGTAGCTACATTGTCTCAGGAGTTAAGACTAGGTTTATGTTCAGTGAGAGAGAGGTTTGTCCAGTTCACTAAGAGTACGGGAGCTGCTTTGATAGCTAATAAAATGATGTCAAGGAACGAGAAAAACAATCTTAAATGCTCCGTCTAGTCATTTCTTTTCAATCACGATGAGGTAAAATGCAAACACTGATGCTGCGAAGAAAAACCGGGTGTGTAATTACAGGTTAAGGTCAAGTCCATGAGCCTTATTTTCTATTTGTTAATTTCACGAGCAACGTCTAGCTCTCGCTTTATCTCCACACCCCTCTCTCCCAATAAAATTGCTGTTTTGCTTTTGGACTTTGACCCTGATACTTTTCTTGAGGGAAGGCTTGTTGGAACATAAGACTTACAACCGACTAGCAAAGTTT